ATGGCAAGACTATGTCTCACATACTTTGGACATGTTATCAGGAGGGATCAGTCCCTGGAGAAGGACATCATGCTTGGTAAGGTAGATGGTTGGTGAAAAAGGGGAAGACCCTCAATGAGACGGATTGACACAGTGGCTGCAACAATGGGCTCCAGCATAACAATGATTGTGAGGATGGCACAGGACCAGGCAGTATTTCGTTCTGTTGTACATAGGGTTGCTATGAGTCGGAACCAACTTGATGGTACCTAACAACAACATCCTTAGGAATTTGGAAAAACATTAGGAGTATCAACCTAAAGGCAGAAGGAAAAAAAGAAAGGCAATTAGCAATTCCAGGAGGGGAAAGAATACAAAAAGTTGAATAAGACAGAACATGTCATCTTAGTATATACCACTTGGCTGTGCAGAGAGTAATATTTATATAATTATAATAATGTGAGCACTGTTGATTGATTTTTAATTCAGAGTCAATGTATTAATGGAGGGAATTATGGTTATAGGATAGTTTAACTAATAGTTTAGAGTGAGGAGTAGGACTCAGGGAAGGATGCTAATAGCCTTATCTTTAAAAGTGTGCACACAAAGGATAATGTCTTAACTGATGGATCTAAGTAAGAAAGGTGTAAATATATTATTTAAAGTTACAAAGGTAGCCAGCAGAGAAACTGAAAATGGTGACATACCCGTATCACTTGGAAGGGGAGATATCTGAGTAGTACAACTGAGCTAAAGTCTCATGTATTAAAGAAGTCAGTGATGTTGTTTTAAGTTGATTAAGCAAGATATAGCAGTGTAAGCATATTATTTACAGACCAGCAGAAATAGAAACAATTAAATGATTTAAAAATTGTTTCCTCTGAAGAACAGAACTAACAGAAAAGTGAGACAGGAGACTTGCTTTTCATAACAGTCTTTTGTTCTCTTCTTTTTAAAATCCTTCATTTTTATGATTACTTTTAAAAAGGAAAAGGAAGGAAGAGAGGGAGGGAAGAGAGGAAAGGACTCTGAGACATCATAATCAATCTCCTCAGAGATGGCAGGTGGAGAGAAACTTTTCCAAGACCTGGGGCTTACACCCAGGTCTTCTGCCTGTAATATATATGTGTGTATATTACATATAATATTTAATAAGGTATCATTTTTATTTTGAAATAATTCCAAGCATATATAAAGGTTTTAAGAATAAGAAGAGTACAAAGAAAACTTGTATTTTCCACTCCCAGGGAATATACTCACGTCAACATTTTACTCCATTTGTTTTGCCATCTGTGTTCCCTCCCTCACACCATCTTTCTCCCTCTCCCTCTCCTTCTTATGGGTGTGTGTGTGTGTGCGTGTGTGTGTGTTGTCTAAACCATGACATAGTGGCTGCAACAATGGACTCAAACATACCTACTATTGTAAGGATGGTGCTGGACTGGGCAATGTTTCGTTCTGTTATACACAGGGTCACTATGAGTCGGAGCCGACTGGATGGCACCTGGCAACAACATATATCATGGTCCTTTGCTCCTGAGTACTTCAATGTGTATTTCATAAGAATAGGAATATTCGCTTACATAACCACAGTGAATTTAACATTGATATAATACGTCAGTCTACCACAGGATTGATTTTTCTTCTACTGTAGACTGCTGCCCTTCCAGTTTTGTTTTGCTGTACACCTTTTTTCTTCTCTTCCCCCATGCCCCAGGCTTCTCCTGCTGCACCCCACCCCCTTCTCTCTACTTGCTTTACGTTCTTCTGTTTTGAAGTCTTTTGTTCTATAATTATTTGAATGGTTCCTGGGGCTTAGAATTAAAAAACTTTACCAGAACCTTGTGTGTGTGTGTGTGTGTGTGTGTGTGTGTGCTTTAGGTGAAAGTTTACAGTTCAAGTTAATTTCTCATTCAAAAATTTATACACACATTGTTTTGTGACATTGGTTGTAGTCCCCACAACGTGACAGCATGCTCCACCTTTCCACCCTGGGTTCCCTGTGTTCGTTCATCCAGTTCCTGTCCCTTCCTGCCTTCTTATCCTGCTTTTGGACAGGAGTTGCCTGTTTGGTCTCGTATATTTGACTGAACTAAGAAGCATGTTCCTCACGTGTGTTATTGTTTGTTTTATAGGCCTGTCTGATCTTTGTCTAAAAAGTAGGCTTTAGGAGTGGTTTCAGTTCTGAGTTAGCAGAGTATTCAGGGGCCATAGTCTCAGGGGTTCCTCCAGTCTGTCAGACCAGTAAGCCTGATCTTTTTTGTGAATTTGAATTTTGTTCTACGTTTTCCTCCTGCTCTGTCCAGGACCCTCTATTGTGAGCCCTGTCAGAGCGGTAGGTGGTGGTGGCCGGGCACCGTCTAGTTCTTCTGGGCTCAGGCTGGTAACGGCTGGTTCTTGTGGTCCTTTAGTCCTTTGGGCTAACATTTTCCTTGTGTCTTTGGTTTTCTTCATTCTCTTTTGCTCCAGATGAGATGGGACCAATAGATGTATCTTAGATGGCCGCTCGCAGGCTTTTAAGAATCAGATCCTTTTTTGGAGGAATCCCTTTGTTCCTTTGCCTTTCCAAAAACCACAAGCACTGCTTTGTTTGATTTTTCTGAGCCTGCCCTTTTGAAAAATGAATTTTATCTGATATGTTTCTGAGGGTTTAACAGCTTTTTTCTTTTCTTTCTTTTTCCACTCTGGTTTATAGTTTGAGAAAGTACCAGACGGCCCTATCCCTCCATCCACACCAAAGTTTGCGTATGGAAAAGTCGCTCTGAAGAAGGTAAGAAAGACACCCCAAAACCAGAAACATTATGCTGAAAGTGAGGTGAGAGTGACGAAGTGGAGCTTAGCGGCGGAGTGAAAGTGCTGTGCTGGGAAGTCTGTTGGGTATTTTTCTGTGAATCTCTTTTCAGGGCAGCTGATAGGGTAGAGGGTGTTTCTGGGAAAATGGGGAGATGGGAGTTGGGAGGCTACGTGTGCGTGTTGATGGGGCTGTGGTATGAGCGGGAGGAGGTAGGGGAGTTTGAAAGCATTCTCAAATCATTCAGGTCATTTTGGTTCAAGTCTCAGTTGTCCACAGTGTGCCGGGAGCCTTTGTAGAACAGCATGCCCCTCATGAGATTTTTTTTCGTAATTCACGTTTTTCTAGTTGGTTCCCAAAAGCCATTCACATCTTGATAGGTCTCTGCCCTAAATTATACACTCCTCCGCCATCTCAAAACCATGTCTTAATTTTGATGGTCTGTAAACCAAACCTGTTGCTACTGAGTTGATTCCAACTCATAGCGACCCTGCAGGACAGAGTAGAACTGCCCCATAGGGTTTCCAAGGAGCAGCTGGTGGATTCAAACTGCCAAACTTTTGGTTAGCAGCCGAGCTCTTAACCACTGCACCACCAGGGCTCCCTTAGGGTCTGTAGACTATATAAAGCTCTAGGCTGCTAAACGAAAGGTTGGTGGTTCGAACCCACCGGCTGCTCTGTGGGAGAAAGATATGGCAGTCTGCTTCCTTGGAAACCCTATGGGGCAGTTCTACTCTGTCCTATAGGGTCACTATGAGTCGGAATTGACTCGACAGCAGTGGGTTTGTTTTTTTGGTTTTATAGTCTATATGGTGAATGGGACATCAAGGGAAAAAGCTAAAAATTAATCAGAAATAGGAGTTAAGGGTATAAGAGAAGAAGAGAGTTTTTAGTTAAATATCAGAAGTGACGTAAGCTAAAGTCAGTTTGTTTTGACCATCTCTGTCTTCAGGTTTTCCCCTCTTATAAATCCCTATCTCCTCCATGTTTTAACTCACAAGAAAAAAACAAAACAAAACATGAACAGTTATGTATTTCTTAAGAATCTTGATATCCTAAAATAGCCTCGCAAGTTTTTATCTTTAAGCAAAATGCCAAACATGCTTGTATAAATTTTTCCACTGGTGAAACTCTTTGTGGGGCTCTTGTAACATTTTCCACCTAGCGTCGGATATGTGTGCCACATTCTACTAAGAATGTGGTCTCTCTACCTGATAGGAATCTGTCTTTAGATTAATCAAAATTTAATCATATTTGCAAAAGGAGCACCCTCTACTTGCTCATTGCTAGTGCTACTTAAGGAAAAGCTTTGTTTGTTTTAGAGAAGTGGGAGATTTATTTTTATGTAACAGAAAATAACTGCAAATGTTTAAAACAATAGCACTGCTAAAATAAAGCTAGCTTAGTGCCGAAATCACATTCTGCTCACCAGAAAGGAAAACCGTGTTAGTGCAAATGGCTTTTTGTTGTTAACTAAATTTATACAACTTAAGATAGCAAGTTGGCATATACCAAGAACCAAACCCATCGCCCTGGAGTCAGTTCCAACTCATAGAGACCCTATAAGACAGGGCAGAACTGCCTTGTAGGGTTTCCAAGGAGCGGCTGGTGGATTCGAACTGCTGACCTTTATGGTTAACAGCCATAGCTCTTAACCACTGTGCCACCAGGGCTTCTTGGCATGTAATGGAATTAGATTTATTAAGATTGTAGTTATATAGAATAAAAACTTTCACCCTCAGTTTAATTCCTTTAGATGGCCACTTGGGAAAACACCCCTGTGAGTAGCTGACTTGATGGAGTTATAATTAAGATTTCTTTCCCTCCGTGCTCCACATCAGCAAGGTAACCACGGAATATATAAAACTCCTAATCACTATCAAGCTGTGGAAAGCTTTGAAGTCAAAGCCAACTATAAAATTTGGCTCTGCCATTACTCAAGTTCACTTCCCTAAGCCTCTGTTTCCTCTCGTGGGATAATAACGCCTGCCTTGCTGGGTGGTTATCAGGATTAAATGAGGCAAAAAAAACCCAAACCCATTGCTGATGAGTCAATTCCAACTCATAGTGACCCTACAGGACAGGGTAGAACTGCCCCATAGGGTTTCCAAGGAGCGGCTGTTAGATTTGAACTACCGACCTTTTGGTTAGCAGCCTAAGGCTTAACCACTGCACCATCAGGGCTCCTGAAATGAGGCGGTGCACGTAAACTGCTCTCTCTCATCTGGAGTTGGTGGGTATGCAGTGACAGTGGTTGTGGTTGTTACATCATGATAAGCACTGTGGGCCACAAGAATACACAGCTTTTTTGCTTGAGTAAAAGAAACATTGAATGTGTACTATGTGCTGGGCATTGAAGATGTACCAGTACAGACCCTACCCTCAAGGAGCTGACAGGCAAGGAAGGCAAAGGTGAACAACTGATATATGATATAGGTGTGGAAATACACCACAGACAAGTTCAGAGGAGGGCGTAGTCATGGTTACTTCACTTGCGGGAGTTATAGAGGAGGCAACCTCTGACCCTTGGTTTTTACTCATCTTAAGTACCTACGATGGGTAGCGCGAACTCTTAAAACACTGGGCTGCTAACCGAAGGGTTGGAGGTTCAGGTTCACCTAGAGGCACCTCAAAAGAAAAGCCTGACAAACTACTTCTGAAAAATCCACCATTGAAAAGCCTGTGGAGCACAGTTCTACTCTGACACACATGAGGTCGTCCTGAGTCGGAATCGACTCCACAGCAACCGTCTTTGTTTTTTTTTGGTTTTATGTATCTCTCAGGAGGTTGTGTTTCTGATCAGGTATGTTTGAGACACTTTTAAGATGACCATCACTTATATTTTTCATCAACAATTAGGGAGTGGATGGAGAGCAACTACAGGTGACTGGGAAGCAATGTTGAGTGAAATTGGAATGATTGGTGTTTATTTGGGAGTGGGCTGGTCAAATCCACTAATGTCCTTGATAACTTGGAAAGTGATGTCACCCTCTACTCTGATTGCCAGTAAAGGGTGAGAGTGTGTGAATGCTGCTTTTGTTTCTTTTCAGTTAAAGACAGTGGGAGAGGCTCTGAACATCCTGTCTCCCTCCGGGCCCACAAAAAGCATTTATCCCTTGACATTTGTCCAGGTGAAACAGGTAGGTCCTCAAAGGTAATGCTTCACCTTTTTTCCATTTGCAAAAATGTGCTTTCTGCACTGCCTAGCAATGCCTGTTCCCAGTGCAAGAACCAGGATGGTAAGCAGGTGACTCAAACTCCAGGTGAATTAACCGTGGATTTCCAGGCTTCCTTTAGCTTTAAGCACTGCACGGTGGGCTGATCTTCCCTATGTTTTCTCTTCATTTCTTATTACAACTCAAATAGGAAGTAGTTCAACTTGCTTCAATGTAATCTTTTTCTTTTTTTAATAATATTTTATTGTGGTTTCGATGAGAGTTTACACAACAAATTAGGTTCCCATTTAACAATTTCTACACAAATTATTCAGTGACATTGATTACATTTTTCACAGTGCATCAGCATCCTTATTCTATTCTGATGGTTACGTGAGTTCTTTTTTTCTTTTTCTGTCTAAATTTTATTTATTTTGTTACTGTTGAGAATATACACAGCAAAACATACACCAATTCTACACGTACAATTTAGTGACACTGATCACATTCTTTGGGTTGTGCAACCATTCTCGCTCTTCTTTTCTGAGTTGTTCTTCCCTCATTACCATAATCTCACTGCCCCCTAAGGTTCCTGTCTAATCTTTGGAGTTGCTGCTATCAATTTGATCCCATATAGACAGATCTTAAAAGAGCATAATGCTCAATGAAGACCTTTCTTACAAGTTAAGATAAGCTATTGTTTGCTTTTGAGGTGACTTCAGGGGATATTTTTGGTTTAAGGTTTAAAGATTATCTCAGGGCAATAGTTTCAGGGGTTCATCCACCCTCCATGATCAGGATTACCCCCTTTTGATCAGGATTCTTCTATGGGCTCTTTGATCAAAATGTTCAGTAATGGTAGCCAGCACCATCCAGTTCTTCTGTTCTCATGGCAAAGGAGTCAGTTGTTCATGGAGGCAATTAGCCAGACATTCCATATCCTCCTCCTATTCCTGACTCTCCTTCTTCCTCTGTTACTCCAGGTGAATAGAGATCAATTGTTGTGCCTTGGATGGCCACTTACAAACTGTTTTTTTTTTTTTTTTTTTTTGTGGTTTGGGTGAAAATTTACAGAGAAAATTAATTTCCCGTTCAACAATTTGTACACGTTTTATTTCATAACATTAGTTGCACTCCCCTCAATGTGAACAGCACTCTACCTACTTGCTCCCTGAGTACCCTGTTTCCATTTACCCATCTTTCTTGCTCCTTCTTGCCTTCCGAACTTTGTTTTCGGGCAAATGCTGCCCTTTTGGTCTCTTACCGTTGGTTATTCTGAGGAGCATGTTCCTCACGGGTGTTATTGTTCACTTTATAGGCCTGTCTGTTGTTTGGCTGAAAGGTGAACTCTGGGAGTGGGTTCAGTTCCAGGTTTGAAGGACGTCTAAGAGCCATAGTCTTGGGGGTTCCACCAGTCTCTATCAGACCAGTAAGTCTGCTCTTCTTTATGAATTTGAATTTTGTTCATCATTTTCCTCCCACTTTTCCAGGACCTTTGTTTTTTTTTTTATTTTTTATTTTTTATTTTTTCCCATACGAGAATTTATGCATACATTGTTATCTGAATCTAATTGCTCTCCGTATACTGTGACAGCACACTGCTCCTTTCCACCCCTGATT